TAGTTAGTTAGTAGTACTATATATATATATATATATATATATATATATATATATATATATTACTTTTGACATAATAAAGAAAATGATTAGAAAACAAATAATTTTATTTTTTTAGGAAAACTGATTTAAATTGTCGGCATGATCGAGACAAGGTTTAGAATAGAGCATTATAATATGTGTATACAATGGCGAAATCGAAAATTTCACAAAAGGTGTCTAGAAATAGCACAACAAAAGCTCTTTTCAGAAAGGTAGAACTAGTGATATTTGAACACACGAGTACTTTCTCATTCCAAGTGTTGGTAAATAGCATACATAGTGAAAGCATTCCAGAATCATATATCTTGCATGAATGTAAACGACAATCACAAATATGCATCACATACAAAGTATGCTGAAAATTAATTCAGGATTACCTCTTAAAGCGTGTGCAGATATCTTGAAGTAAATCCAACTCCAACTCTACAGTCTTCTACAGTGATCCCGATTAACAATTGAACTCTCTCAATACTTGGGTGGGCAAGTGTTGTATAGATTATTGAATTAAATCTTTTCTAGGTCAGAAAAATCCCTACTTATAGAGATGTCTTCCCAGTGCAAAGAAAATTCCTGTTCTTTCAAGAATATCAATAAACACACGTTTCTCTTCTTTTCTCAGAAGAAACACGCTTCATTTTTCTTTTTACTAGAAAATAAGATTTTGAGTTCTAGTTAAATTGGGCATTGGAGGGACCACATAATTTATTACTGAGGCTTCCTATTAGGAAATAATTCCAAATAATCAATTTGAATTATTCTTACCATAAAAAAATCATTGCACTATATTCACCATTAAAAACTTATGTAATTTTCCATTTTAAGATTACCGATACTAATCAATAAATTAAACTACTGATGAATTTAATTCAATGATTAATTTCATTTAGAGAAATACTTAACTTATTTCATGTGCCAGATTCGTAAATCTACCGGCCAGGTTTACACATGCAAACTTATAAGCTTCTCATAAAAAATGTACCATCAATCTCTATAGCGAGACATGGACTCCATAAACTAACTAATTATTTCATCAATATATATTATTATCATCCAATCTACCAGGCAAATTGACCCATCTCAAAATCTCACCTTTTAACAAATCAAAACGATAAGTAATATATACAGATCATAATCGTTATATCAAGATTAAGAATATAAGTACATTTAAAAGTTTAGAGAATATGTTTTTATCAGTCAGTCTAAAATATATATCTTTGCTCGATCCCGTTCAATACATACCAAATGCACTAGCACGAGAAGTTAGAAGTTAGAACTATATCATTCTCATAATCAATATAAATTACATTTAATCTCATGCTACAATTTTTCTGATGGTTTTGTCCAAATTTCCATCTATAATTGTGAACTATAACTTTTAGTTATAAGAACCGACAGTTTAATCTTCTGTGTATAAGCTTAAACTCTATATACCAAATCATCTACTATATAAGTTAAGAACACATATATGACTGTCACAACCGGGGAGCACCCCCTAGATGTAACCGACATCTTCATCCTCGAAGAAGACTTGGACTAACCCTTAGCATTCGTCATAACATATCATAGTTCAAAAATGCAAAAATTAAAAACTTTTACATAGTGAAGTATACTTAGACTTCTCATATATTATATATGGAGTTTACATAGACTCCTTGCTTATTAAAGTTTACATAGACTTCTCGGTTAGAAGACATAATCAAATCATATGAAATAGTCTAATACTTTATCTCACATTAAACCATATAATAGAGTATTACAATATTGGGCATAGCCTTTACTTCAATACAATATGCCACAAATAGGCTTACAACAATAGTCTCAAGTGATAAAGGAAAGAACAATTGTCTTTAGACATAAGCAACATTGTAGCTAGAATAGAAGAATGACAACATCCACGAATTTGAGGACCTACCAATAGCTTAAAAAATATATCCAAGTCTTCCTTCAAAGGGGTATCCTACACTTCAATGACGCGAACCTACATTGTTTGGGAAAAGAGAAAGAATATGGGTAGTACAAACCACATGTACTAAGTATGGAAATGTATGTACATAAAATCATTGAAATCATGCTTAAAATGACATTTCGTTCAAAACTGTGATAAGTCACTTAGAGAGAGCCTTTTATGCACATACAAGAGTATATACAAGTCAATAGACATAGCATCATTAAGACATATTCATATCCAACACAAGACCAGCATCATCATAAATGTCATATCAACATGAATAACACCATATTAAGGCCATATCTACATGAATAACTCCAACATAATGTCATAACAACAATTCATGTACAAGAGTTCATAACATCAAAGCATATAAGACCCTTACCAACAATCCCATCCTAAGCCTACAAATGCAATGCTCATGTGAAGCCCCATAACCCCACATAATCAAGTAAATTAGAAAAGAGACCATAAGCACTGCCTACATTTCATATATCTTCATATCATGCATATTCATCATAATATATATCAACTTAGAC